TAAGGGATAAAATATCTTGAAGTAAAGAGGGCTGGGTAGTTTTCATTTCTTTTGCTCCGCTTTATTTTGTCGTTTGCACTACAACATGCAGTTTCTGGCTTTTTCCTTATTGATCCTAAAAAAAATCCTTTGCTATTATTTTATAATGAGGAAACGTATTTAACACAACTTTTTGTAGATCAATCACGATTCATGTTAATTAGATATAGACTTGGTGGCGACTGTTTCTTTCATCACTGACTCTGTGACAGAGATGTTAATTGCATCGAATGATTTCGAGTTATGGCGCCGTTAAAATGGGCTGCATTATACTCAGAGGAGCTTCTAATATACACTGTTCAAAAAAATTAAGGGAACTGCTGGAGGTCATTTTGTAGGGGTCTGATCGTGATCCTTCAGTTTCTCCTTGCACAAAGGAGTGGATACTTGCCCTGCTATTGGCCGTGTCCAGCTGGCCTTGCCTTTCCTCCACATTCTTCAAACTGTAAAAGTGAAACTTCATAACTGGACAGACTGATGTCTGTTAACCAACTTTGCGTTATACTGATGATTGAGTGTCATTATTGTTGGTATTATTTTTAGTAGTGTCTATATTAATGCCTACATTTCTGTTTAAATAAAAAATATCTCTTTATAAATATGTTAATGGCACAAATGATATCTTGCAAAGTAAGATCACAGCGATGTATTTATCACAGAAATTTCTGATGATGCCATCAAAACCTGTAAGCAGAGCTGCTGTGTTATATTGTAATAGATGTACCTGTCATTAAATCCAGGTGCACCCAGCTGAGTGCAGATTAAATACGTCTTCCCTAATTATATTGTCTGTTAAAAATGCAAACTCCGAACAAATAAGTCACCATGTTATTAGATTTCCCCATTAAATGGAAACTCGCTATTACTTAGAAAAGCAACTGCTTGCTCTAACACAATTCATGAGGTGTCCCTTACACATGGGCCCACAAAATTCTGACAAACATCAAGTCTCCTCAAACAATTATACAAGATGTTTCAAAGATGTCCTTGAATTGCCGGAATAACCTTGTGGTGGAAAATTACTGAATCCTTTTATTTTCTTATAGCTACTTTTGTGGCCTCAACCTAATCCTGTTTGAGTTTAAAAAACAGCTGATATAAAACCTGTAATTTGCAGTGGTAGAAAGTGGCTACATACATTTATCCACTTGAGTCTTTCCAATTTCAGATGATCCTTTTAACTCATCTATGTTTATTTAACAACATACTTTTTACTTATAATAATAATAAACCAGTTTGTTTGTTTGTTTTTTACCATTTTTGCTTGGGATCTATGTTGGGGCAATTACTTCCCGATTTCACATGTCAGATTTTTCTCGGTTAACCTCTCAAATGATTAGTTCAAGAATGTTAGACTCACTGATATTTAATATGAAAATTAAAAACTGGTCAAGCAGTGAAATGAAAAACACACATTTGTCTGGCAGAACTTTATTTTTTCCAAATTCCTGCTCATTCATTCAGTTTGTGACTTCTTTACCTTATGAACTTGCCTGCGATCAAGGACTAAACTGCATAAAGTAACATATACTTTTCCACCCAAAATGGAGTAAGGTCCTAACTCAGTTAGAGCCTCACTTGTTTCACATTTTGTCATTCCATCACTTGATTAATTCATTTTTCACTCAAAATAGCCTTTTCTCAGTATTTTCTTGAATTGTCTTCGGCAGCAATTAGAGCCCCGAGTATTTTTGTGTAGGATGTTACAAGCTTGGCACACCTATATTTGGGTGGTTTCTCTCAATCTTCTTTGCAAAGCTTCACAAGCTGCAGCAGGTTGAATGGGGAGCAATGGTGCACTGCCATTTTCAGATCTCTCCAGAGATTATCATTCTTAAAGTCCTGCTCTGTTCACGCATGAGGCCAAGCTTATTCCTTGACCAGAACTACCAATGCCATCTTAATGGATAAAGTCCTCATTATGTGAGCACTGCCTAGGGGCCAACCTCCAATAGAACCAGTCTCAGGGTGGGGCAGTTATCTGTTGTGAGGGGAGGATGATGAGGACACAACTAACTAACTAATTTACTAAGTCATGTTGGTCTTGATTTGTTTATCAGGTTTTTTGACAGATCTAAGAAAGAAAGATATAAAAGTCTATTTATTCTGTTTGAGTTCATTCAGAGCAGCCAGACACTAGATGTTCTATTGTCTCTTCTTATTGGCCACATATTTAGTGTTTGTTAATTTCCACTTTTTAAAAGTTGTCACATTTGTCAAGGCCATTGAATTGATGTCATGTTTCAAGAGCTTGTTTCAGTTCAATTCAGTTCAGCCTCATCTTTTCAGTAGCAGTTGGTCTTAGTGCATTGATCTTGAGCAGCAATAATGAGCCCTTCAGTTTCTGACTGTAGGCCTGCTGTTTTAAGCCAGCAGCTTGTTTGGTCCACATCTCTGCCATTTATTCATTTCAAATACTGTCCGGAGCATTTTCTTCCCATTTTCTCTTTCATTGTTATAGGGTTTGATGTTTGCCTGCCATTTCCGCTTAGCTGGTGGTTGGCTCATTTTCCATTAGCTGTATCTTTGGCATATTGAGCTCTCTTTTGAATATAACGGCTTCATTAGTGCAGTGATAATGATTTTTCTTGGGGTTTTTTTTTAGTTCTTTCACTATCTTTAGCTTTGGTAAGGAGATTGTCTTCTTTATGTTTGAGGTATGTGTCCAATGTTCTTGTTTTGTTATTTTGTATGTGCTCACAATCTGAGTAAGGCCTCTTCCATCTAATGTCTTTCGAGAGTACAGAACATCTTTTCTATCCTTCGATCCATCTCATCATATTCAGGGTCACAGGGAGACTGGAGCCGAATACAGCTGTCAGTGGGAGTAAGTTGTGGTACACCCTAAACAGGTTGCCAGTCTATTGCAATGGTAACACATAGACACAGATTCACTGTGACTCGAACAGCCAATTAAGGAAGAATCACCAACTAAACTTCCCATTGTATTTTATTTTTCCCTGAAATGTTCTTTTTTTGAACAGAGTTGAATACTTCCTTTTGGTCAACCAAAAGGAGTAAGATTATTTCTTTTCCCAGTCTTAATCGCCTTCATTATGGCTTTATTCATAAGTAGTTGATCTACATAACTCCTACATAACTACAGTATTTTTGTTTTAGTGCTAGCAAGTTGTTGTCCACCAGATTCTTGTAGGATCTGGCTATTGGTATTCATTTTAAAGTCTTACACAGTGTAGGATTAAGTAGTACCACTTGTTAGTCGACTGCATTAGTTGGGCACTAACAATAAGGAGGCCATTCTTCATGGTTTTCTATGATCGTGTCAGGTTTTCATGTAGTGCTGTTGTTTTAGCCAGAAGCTTGTTACGCCATCATTCCCCTGGGTCTCCCAGTTTCTGGATTTTTTGGATAGTTGTTGTTATTGCCTCCACTGTTGTTGCCTAAGATGTCACTGACTGCAGAGGCAGTGGCATAAAATAATTTGTTCACTTCAGCAAGGGATAGCTTATCATTAAGCCTATTCTTAATAGCCATGATTGCTCTATTAGTTATTTTTAACCCTCTCAAGGCAGGCGTTGCAGATTTGCAACAGTTAAAAGCTAACAACCTGATTACCCCACATACATATTTTAAGAGTTTTTTTTACTCAGAAGTACCACTGCAGGTATTCTTTTGTGCATTAGCAACAAAAACTTAATTTGAGCCTGAGAGGGTTAATGCTGATTTTACATGCTTGTCACATTTAATTTTTAGCATTAGTGGTCTTTCATCAATGTTTCTTTTACAGCCTTCCATTTTCTCAGGATGTTGTTTACCATTTCCTCTACTTTTTCATCAGCACTGTGTTGCATTTGGGTGGTCTGATTCATTTGGTTGGTTTACTTCATCGCTGTGCTCATTTTCCTCAGCACTTAATGCTGCAACATTGTTTTTGTGGTGATTCACATCTCTTCCCCGCTCTTGAGATGTTTTTATCTTTTATCCTTTGAATTTCAGTCTCTGTCAGCCTCGTTTTTAATAACGTCCCTTCTGTTGTTCGCAAGGTCATTAGTGGTCATATGAGGTCTTGAAATACACTTCAATCACATATTTTTACTTTTTCTGTCACCATTCTAGTTCTAGCTGGTTTTCGATGGTTTTCAGAGAGTCCATTTTATGGACCCTCATAAGCATCATACTTATTTCTTAGTGGGGTGATTGTCATTTGCTTGCTTGTTAGAGTTTGTTCTAGTAGCAGACTGTGTGGTTCCCTGTGGAGGAAAGCAGTCCTTGTTTATGTTATGGTAATCTATTAGGTTTTTATGCCATTTTGGACAATGATAGTCAGAGCCTCTGTATCCAGAGGCTACATTTCCCAGTAAAAATCACTGGGTATTACCATTATTATTATTATTATTATTATTATTATTATTATGATTATTATTATTATTATAAGGATGTGAGCTAATGGTCCTAAAAGTGGACCTATTATCTTTTTACTTATTTTCTTTCATTATTATGTCATATTTTTCCACATTTAACATTAGCCATGTTAAATGTGGTTGAAGTTTCGAATAAAGAGGTCAGTTTCTGTATGAGTAATCCCTGTGAGCCAAAAGCTCAGATTTCAGACTTCTTTAAGTGCTCAGTTTCAGATAATTTATGTCAGTGAGAGTGGAAAGCCCTTAAAGCACTCAGCTCTGGGCCCACCCAATTGTTGTTCAAACTTTCAGTTTAGGAGGGGCAGCCAATCCGAAGAAAGAGGCTAAAGTGATTTGTTTTAGGATGAAGTCAGTGACGGCATTTCTTATAAATGAAGATCTTTTTTTTTTTTAATGCAAAGCTACTCTAGTTTTGGCTAATAGGCTTCTTTTAGCGACCGCCTTCCCGTTCGTTCAAAATATAAACGAAACTTTAGGTAACAGCATGGTAATACCGCCGATCACCAGCAGAGGGAGAGCTGCAACAAGCCCAGCCGCGCTTTCCGGAAGACCAATGAAAATATTTTGTGACGTTTCATTCACCTCCACCCATTAAGAAGAAATCAGCTGCTCAGCCTTGCAGTGCATTACAACCCTTGCCTAATTCCCTGTCAGTCAGTGCCGATAAACAGTGTCTTCTTAATATCAGATACCCCTTCTGTATCGGGCTTCCGTCTACACTGCTGCAGCTCGTGTGTTGATTTGTTGTTGTTATTTTTTTTTTGTACACCAGCTTGTTTCTTGCACGTAACATGCAGAAGAGAAGGAAGCCTGAGCCGATCCAACTCAACCCCATCCCTGATGGAAACACTATCAACGGCAGCGGAGCCACAGAGTGAGTGTCAATATTAATCTGCTTCTAATATTCTGATAGGGGAATGTAGTACACAGATAACTGCTTTCTGATATATAACCTAATATATGTTGGATTCAGTATGACAGCAGCCAATACCGTGTGTGTGCTCGAGTACTCTGCACCAAGTATTTGTGTGGGTTCCTGAAACCTTGTCCTCTACTGCAACTATTGATCATTTGCATCAGTTGCTGTACTGAGAAAATGAAATATTTTTTTTTTAAATCTGAAAAGTTACTGACACGTTAACCATTGACCATTCCTCAAAATAGCTTATGTGGTTTGGGTTGCATGTAGCATTTTTATAGGCTACAGCATTGATTGAATAATTCTTTAGATTTACTCTTGAGCACAATCCAAGACAGAGATACTCCGTTCACACTGAAATAAAACAGGGAATAAACAGAGGTTGCTCACATTGATAATGTTTGGCTCTAAAAAAAATGCTTGAACAGTTATTAAAACAGCCACTAAATCATAATTCAGTAGACTACATGATAACTGGACTATTTGTTGCACACTAATCAGCTATCAAACAGTTAAAGAAGTTTAATTTTTAATGATGTAAATGGAAAAAACTGGAAACTCATTTCACTTTATCATTTCAAGCGCTAAATAGCTGTCAAAGTCCTCGTGATTTCATTCATTTTCCCGTTTTACTCATGCCACAGGTCATTTTCACAAATTATCATTGTTACCGTGTTTCTCATTATAATATTTATGTAACTTTTGGCTGTCAAGTCCTCTTTGTGGTGTCATAGATGGACAGGTCTCCGTGTTACTCTCACAGCCCACTTGGTGTGATTAGTCAGAGATAGAGCTTTCCAGCGAGGCAGCACACAGAATTATATTTCTGTCTGCTGAAGGAGTTCTGCAAAGGCCTGCTCCCACCACTGTTTGACAAAACACAGTAATGGAGACATAAAATTGTTTTGACATTCTCCTCTAGCCCTCAGTTTGCAGAGAAAAGCCCAGTGAGTCCTGCAACAAGCTGGATCAGTTGAGATGAGAATTACGTAACGTGTCATCAGTTATGATGGCTGCTTTTCTGATGCGTTGTAGAGTCCAAATATATTATTGTTTCGTTGTTAGAGCGCCCATCTGAAGGCCATCTGTGTCTTTGGCAATGAATTAAAGACAAAAAAAATGACACTGAGTCATATTTGAATAAAATTTTGCGTTAAGTAATGGTAATTTTAAAGAAACAAGAAAGATTTTTTTAATGTGTCCACTAGTACCAAAAATTAAAAACAAAAACAGGAAGAAATATACTTTAGGAAGCTTTTAGTAAGATACAAATTAGAGTAGTAGAAATGTAAAAGTGAGGCCAAAAGTCAATGACATGATATTTGGATACAAACTATAATGTGGCATTTAAAATCCCCATAAACCAGTATCATTTCTTAACTGTTCCCACTACAAATGAATTTGTAGCATAGCTTGAAAGGTGAAATATATTTTATAAAAGTCTGACCAGTAAGAAACATAGTTTTAAAAATAGCTCTACAGATCACTAGTATCACTTTGACCTTCGGATTAATCTATTGACCTTGGAGAGGTCAAAGGTTATAAGTGACCTATTTAAAATCTTTACACAATATATACAATACACTCTATATGTTGACAATACGTGTCACACATGCCACAAGTGTAAAACTTGTAAGACTTTTTGTCAGTTTTTGCCCAACAAATGATTTGGTTAACCTTGAAGACCTTGGTGGATGTAAGCCAAACTTGAATGGATTGTTAACATGACGCCATTCTACACCCCTACAAAGTTTGATCAGAATTCATTCAAAACCTTTTGAGTTCTCATGTTTATTGATACAAGAAATGATACATGTAAATGCTACCAAAAATAGAACCGCCTCTTCAGTTTAGCTTTAGCCAAGGGCAGATGTTTGACTTTAGCTTGCATTAGATGGAAAGTCTACTTCTCAGCTTCTCACCATTAAAATATATATCAGCTGATAATCATGTACATGTAATTCCTGTGAACCTAAAGCTAAGGCTGCTGCAGACATTTGTTTTACATTCCTTTTGCCTGGTTGATGTCAGTAAGGCAGGAATGTCCTTATATGGGCACAGAAAGGGTCCAAGAATCATCAGATTCTGAAGCATTGGACTTGGAAATTTTTCTTCAGTGCTCTACTTAAGAGTTATCTGCAAGTTCTAGAGCTTGATCAAATACTTTCTCAGTTGCGAAGGAGTGCTAAAAGAGAAAGAAAGAAGGAAAACTGTTTATTCATTTATACTCTCTTGTGACATCAAAATGAGCCCAATGCTTATTGAGTAACTCTGTTGAAATCTGTTTTGCTGTGGATGTTGTCGCTGTCTGCTCTGTTCTGGATCAGATTTTGAGCTCCAACGTGTATGCAAGAATGTGAAAAGTGGACATTTTGTAGGTTTTGAATGTTGGTTTCAGAATCTCTACATGACTGATCAAGCAGGAGAAGAACAGCCAATCAAAACAAAGTGGGCTTTTAGAAAGAGGGGCTTTAAAGGGACCGGAGCTAAAATGGCTTTTTCTAGACTGTGAATGAAGTGAGGAGATGCATGAAGGGCTGGTATACGATGAAAGGGGATTATATTGAATAGTGAATTGTGCAAAGCTGTAGTAGAGTTAAAGTATAAGGTTGGGTACAGGTGTTAGCACTGTTGCCTCGCAGCACATGAATCTTGCAATTGGCTTGTGCCTTCCTTTTTAGAGTTTGAATGTTTTCCCTGTGCTTGCTTGGATTTCTTTTGGGTCCTCTTCTCAAAGATCAATTGGTGATTCTAAATTGGCCATGGATGTGCATGAAGTGCTGTATGAATATGTGGCTAATGTGTGACTTGGATGGTCTGTAAGACAGGAAAAGCACAAAAAATACTGAATGCATAAAAACATGAAGCTTGAAGTTAGCACAATGTTAAACAGATGAGCTGTGCCTCTACTTTGTTCATTAGGAGCTATTGATGATGACATAATGTTTGGCGAGAGCCGAGCACATTCCTGCTGCTGCTGGCCGGGATCTAATGGACTAAAGAGCAACATGTTGGGATGAGGCAACAATCAGGAATTCTGAATCACTGTGGTTTTTTTGTTTGTTTGTTTTTGAATGAGGGTTTCTGTGTCCTCTGTCATGTAAGAAGGTGTTATACTGTGGCACTGCTGACATATAGTGACTGCTGTTACTCAAGTCCTCTTTTCCATAAAAACACAGTTCTGTTTGAGTTCAGCTGGCTGAGGGTTTAAGGAAAAGCTAAACCAGTTTCAATCCAGTGATGGTAGATGGTGGGTTTGTGGTAACAAATGTTGTTCATGTTACCGATATCACAAGTTTGTCACACTTAAATGTTTCAGATCATCAAATAAATATAAATACTAGACAAATGTAACACAAGTAAAGTTTCTAACACGAGGGTGTTTATCTATTCAGATATGCTAGGAAATAATCGCAGTGTGCATTAGATACACCATTTCAGCTGCTTGTTAACACAAACATCTAATAAGCCAATCCTCATTGCATTTAGGCATGCAGACATGAGCAAGAGTACAAGCTGAAGTTCAAACTGAGCATCAGAAAGTGGACAGTGATTTAAGTGACTTTGAACGTTGCATGGTTGTTGATGCCAGATGGGTTGGCAACAACCATATCCATAGAGTTTACTGAGAATGGTTTTGAAAAGAGAAAAATATTCAGTGAGCAGCAGTTATCTACACTCCCTTGTTAATATTAGATATCAGAAGAAAATAACTCAACCAGTCTTTACAACCCAGGTATGCAGAAGAGCATCTCTGAGCACACAACACATCAAACCCTGCGACAGCAGAAGCCCACACTGGGTGGTAACACCTCTCAGCTAAGAACAGGAAATTAAAGCTACACTCGGCATGGACAAAAGAAGATTGGAGAAATGTTTCCTGATCCTGATGAGTCACGATTTGTGCTGCAACATTCGGATGGCAGAATTTTGTGTAAACAACATGAAAGGATGGATCCGCTCTGCGTTGTAGCAACAGTTCAGACTTCTGTTGCTATAATGTTGTGAGAGATATTTGCTTGGCACACCTTTGGCCGCTCTGTACCAAAATGAGCATAACAATATCATGGCCCTGAAATCAAACAGCCAAATGAATTTCAACTGTCATTGATTTCAATATTTACATTTATGATTTAGTTACTGTGTATCATGTGGTCTAAAAATGTCTGAAAGAGACATTTCCAGAAATCTATTCTCGTAATGTATCAGCGTTATAGCCGTAAGTAAGAAAACCCACCAGCTGTTTTGAACAGAAGGGGAAGAAAAGGCTCAGGTTTCAAAGCGCTCATTTAAATTAGCACATTATTCTGGGTAATTTGCAACACGACACAAGATGATTGGATGCTGACACTGGAGAGCAAATATGTTGCATAATGGTTGTGGATGAGCTTAATCCAATCGATGAGCCTCTTACTGAAACCAGACCGTTGCACTCTTGTGAAAAAGGACAGCCATTCCAGCACGCCAAATGCTTTTTCAGCATGAAATGGCTGCAAGCCATTGGAGAACTGCAATCAGTGGCCCATAAGGATGGAATATTATCAGGGGAGAGCTGAGAACAAATACAAACAGCTTGTTTTGGATAGACCCTTATACTTCATCTTGGATAACCTACTGCCATCACATAGGTGAAAACCTCTCTAAGGTTCTGGGAAACTAAATTATTGATAAATATTGACAGCAGCCATAGTTTGTGGCTCTTTTTTATTATTTCTTTATTTAACATATTGCTTACTATATGCTTTTTATTAGAGAGCAACAGGTACTCAGTTTTTAATTACAGTAAAAAAAAAAAAGGTTTTCTGAGGAACTCATCCTGGTTTTAATTTCTCCAACAGTAAGTGATTGACACTCACTAAAAATACTGTAATTCTCCCATTTGTTACATTTACTGCGCACCAGGTTCAGCTATCCATGCTACAGGTTTCTTGAATTGTAATCTTTACAGGGCACCTATGTTTACACATCCGGTAATTTTGCAGTCTCTTAACGTACCTGCACACGATGCAATGCTTAGAAAAGAGAAACACTCAGGGGAGATACAGAATGGAAACAGATGGAAACAGCTGTAGCTTCAACAGCAACCATTTTTCAAATAATAGTTTAAAAGAGACTGTTCAATCGCATATCAATTTTTAATAAAATTTTGGTTCTCCAGAGCTGTGTTGAACTATTCTTTGAAAAAAAGAATCTAAGCAACACATGTTGAAATAATAAGTAGCTGAATACCTCTTTGGCTGAAGCCATGAACCAAAACCTGATAGATACAGTGGGGCAAAAAAGTATTTAGTCAGCCACCGATTGTGCAAGTTCCCCCACTTAAAATGATGACAGAGGTCAGTAATTTGCACCAGAGGTACACTTCAACTGTGAGAGACAGAATGTGAAAAAAAAAAATCCATGAATCCACATGGTAGGATTTGTAAAGAATTTATTCGTAAATCAGGGTGGAAAATAAGTATTTGGTCAATAACAAAAATACAACTCAATACTTTGTAACATAACCTTTGTTGGCAATAACAGAGGTCAAACGTTTACTATAGGTCTTTACCAGGTTTGCACACACAGTAGCTGGTATTTTGGCCCATTCCTCCATGCAGATCTTCTCGAGAGCAGTGATGTTTTGGGGCTGTCGCCGAGCAACACGGACTTTCAACTCCCGCCACAGATTTTCTATGGGGTTGAGGTCTGGAGACTGGCTAGGCCACTCCAGGACTTTCAAATGCTTCTTACGGAGCCACTCCTTTGTTGCCCGGGCGGTGTGTTTTGGATCATTGTCATGTTGGAAGACCCAGCCTCGTTTCATCTTCAAAGTTCTCACTGATGGAAGGAGGTTTGGCTCAAAATCTCACGATACATGGCCCCATTCATTCTGTCCTTAACACGGATCAGTCGTCCTGTCCCCTTGGCAGAAAAACAGCCCCATAGCATGATGTTTCCACCCCCATGCTTCACAGTAGGTATGGTGTTCTTGGGATGCAACTCAGTATTCTTCTTCCTCCAAACACGACGAGTTGAGTTTATACCAAAAAGTTCTACTTTGGTTTCATCTGACCACATGACATTCTCCCAATCCTCTGCTGTATCATCCATGTGCTCTCTGGCAAACTTCAGACGGGCCTGGACATGCACTGGCTTCAGCAGCGGAACACGTCTGGCACTGCGGGATTTGATTCCCTGCCGTTGTAGTGTGTTACTGATGGTGACCTTTGTTACTTTGTCCGTCCCAGTCTTCGTCCCGTTGGTTCTGATTGTCACCGTTCATTCATTGACCACATGAACTTGGTGGACCCCAGCAGAGTCGTGGTTTGTGTTTTTCTGTGATTGTCCACATGATTTTTACAGCTGTTGCTGGATCACTCTCCTCTGTGAGTCTCAATCCGTTCGAGGCTGCATGGGTTTGAGTTTCTCCCAGCGCTCCTTCCCCGTTACTTTTGATTGTACCCCTAGGTCCTCCAATTCTCCTTCCCCCTCCGCCTCCCCTCGTGGAGCCCCAGATCGAGGGAGATTATCAGTGGTCTTGTATGTCTTCCATTTTCTGATGATTGCTCCCACAGTTGATTTTTTCACACCAAGCTGCTTGCCTATTGTAGATTCACTCTTCCCAGTCTGGTGCAGGTCTACAATACTTTTCCTGGTGTCCTTCGAAAGCTCTTTGGTCTTGGCCATGGCGGAGTTTGGAGTCTGACTGTTTGAGGCTGTGGACAGGTGTCTTTTATACAGATGATGAGTTCAAACAGGTGCCATTCATACAGGTAACGAGTGGGGGACAGAAAAGCTTCTTACAGAAGACGTTACAGGTCTGTGAGAGCCAGAGATTTTCCTTGTTTGAGGTGACCAAATACTTATTTTCCACCCTAATTTACGAATAAATTCTTTACAAATCCTACCATGTGAATTCATGGATTTTTTTCACATTCTGTCTCTCACAGTTGAAGTGTACCTCTGGTGCAAATTACTGACCTCTGTCATCATTTTAAGTGGGGGAACTTGCACAATCGGTGGCTGACTAAATACTTTTTTGCCCCACTGTAAATGTGTGTCTCAGACTCTCATTTATTAAAAATGCATTTTCTTTAACTTGCTTGATGTCAAGGTGTAGAGTTATTGTGCTTCTCACATTCAAGTTCTGCTGGATGTCCTTGTTCTTTAGTGCGGATGGAGCTCAAAAGCCCAGCGTCGTGCTCACTTCTTCCTGCACCTGGAAGGGAGGGGGCCTGCAGTGTGGCGCTACTGTAGTCCCTCCCTCGTACATTGTGTAGTGTTTCAGGCTTCTCCTCCTCTCATCCTCCTCCACCTCCAGCTCTTGTCGACAAAACGCCCACGCCACCCACAGCCAGCTCAAACTCGGCACCTCGTCTCCATGGATATGCAGGCCTACTGTCAAAAATAAAACCACTTAACCCTCTCTTTGCTGTGCGGAGCTGTGCAGGGAGAAGAGCTGCTCTCCAGTGAGTCGTTATTAAGTTTAAAAAAAAGATGAGGAATAAAAAGCGTAATTACCACTAAGACTGATGAAGATCTTCTCATCACCACATAGTTGTATTGTCACGAAAATCTGGTAGGCTGGCAATTAAATAATTCATTTAAATGATTTTCTCTTAGCTGAATGAAGACAGCAGCACATATGAATCATACATGCTTTTGTTTGATACTTTAATCATTTACAGCGTAAACAATTAAATTGCAAATTTTTAACATTCACAGGCCAAATGTTTGACACTAATAACAGGACATCTCTGTGGTCTTCACAGCAGCTTCCAGCTAATACTTTTTAAAGTCTTAGACTGGCTGTGCGTGGCGGTGTGGACAGTGTTTTGAGGCAGTTGAGTGGGAGGTCAAAGGGCAGCAGAGTTCACTAGACAATTAGTTTCTCAAGGAAAGCTTTCTCACACTGGGATCTGAAAAGGGATAATAAAACACAACCAGCTCTCTCTGCTGGCTCCCTCTTTGTTTAACATTATTCCTGAGGAATGTGCAGGAGTACTACACATAGCTCAGTCTTATCTCGGAGGATGACATAATAGATGCAGTAGGTCTGGATGTGGAGTATGTGGATTATCTGTGGTGAGCAGATCCCAGCAAGCTGAATGTGGGGGAGTGAGTGTGACAAGGAGAAAAACCTTACTAATCTTGAACGGTAGTTTGAAATCTAGATATATCTAACTTGAAGAAACACAATCTATGGAGCAACCATACTGTATTTATAATATTTATGGATATTAAAGTTTATTTTTATGGCCTTGTGTTTTTGTACACTGCTCTGCTGCCTCTTTTCTGTTGCACTATTAAAAGTTTGGACTGGTAATCAAATTTGACTTGCCATAAGTCGTTATCCATGGATCGGAAACACCTTTTTTAGTCACACATTTCTTGGGAGACTCACAAATTCAGACTTTTGGAACTCAAACCAATCATGTGAGATGAAAGCATGAGGAATGAAAATAGTGGGACCACCGGGTCATTGATATCTAATGAGAGGAGATCTGACAGTTTAGTCTCTGAACTGAATACAATAATAATTCACGTTTCTCATTGTCTTCTGTCTTTCTTTACTCTTAACAAGAACAAACTTGGAGGCACTGCAGAAAAAACTAGAGGAGCTCGAGTTGGATGAGCAGCAGCGGAAACGCTTGGAGGCCTTTCTGACACAGAAGCAGAAAGTGGGAGAGCTGAAGGACGATGACTTTGAGAAGATCTGCGAGCTCGGTGCCGGCAACGGAGGAGTTGTCTTTAAGGTTTCCCACCGACCCTCGGGTCTGATTATGGCAAGGAAGGTAAGCTGCAGCACAGCTGTCTGAAAGCTATTTTTTTTACTCCAGTATGTCCAAGAGGCATCATTACTCCAGTGTTTGTGCACAGCCTTAAATGTGGGTTAATGGGACAGCAGACCGTCCGAAAACCCAAGTGCTGCTGTTAAAAATCGCCCCCTAGCTGAAACAAGATGTGCTTCAATATTAAATCTTTTTCCTTAATGATCATTTTTTGGTCATAAAGCATGTTCTTGTCTGTGCTTGTATTGTCTAGCATTTGTCTTCTCTGTGTTACGGAAGCATAATTAAAAACATGAGCCCTGCTGTGTTCCAGCTGATCCACCTTGAGATTAAACCAGCCATCAGGAACCAGATCATTAGGGAGCTGCAGGTGCTACATGAGTGCAACTCCCCATATATTGTGGGCTTCTACGGGGCTTTCTACAGCGATGGGGAAATCAGCATCTGCATGGAGCATATGGTATAGTTTATTAATGTTATGCTTGCCAGTGTTTTCCCAGTAGTGTTTTTGCTTTCTTTTACAGACTATACTGAAAGTTGTTAGGTATTTCTTGCCCTCCATTTACAGCCTGGTCGGCATGGGAACAAGCTATTTTTGATGAAATGTGTTGTTTTTCACAAATTTTTTATTTTGAATCCTCTCCATTTGTCCCCGTCTGTTGTTCATAGGATGGTGGCTCCCTGGACCAATCACTGAAGAAAGCAGGCAAGATCCCAGAGCAGATCCTTGGCAAAGTCAGCATTGCTGTGGGTAGCTTTAACACCTCTCCCACTTATTTCATGCTCTGGCCGTCACACTAGAGCTAAGTTTCTTATACTTCTTTGGCAGTACCAAATTATCTGTGCCTTTGCTGTGCTGTTATGCAATGTTTGTCTCTGCAGGTAATTAAAGGTCTTTCCTACCTGAGGGAGAAGCACAAGATCATGCACAGAGGTCGCTATTTCAATTAAATATAATTTAATTTTCTTCACCTGGCCTTTAAACGCATAAATACCTTTCCTTAGTTTTGCTATACATAAAGCCTAGATCAAATCATTTGTCTGGCACTAGCAGAGAGGTGAAGATATGATTACATGGAAGTCTGATTTGGTTTTTGTTATGTCTGAGGGGGAAGTTTAAAGCTCTTGTTTTTTCTGATAGTTACATTTGAACAGATTTTTTTTTTCACTTTAACATTTCTTTCTGTCATATTGTGGTCATACTGGGTGTAAAAAGCTTGTTTTCTAACGTAGAAGTGGAGGCATGACCTGACAGCAACACAGTGATCACCTACCTCTTGTTTTAATACAAACTTAGAATACAGTCAATCCCAATTTAAAGGCTCAGTTAAATCTTTGTTGTAGGGATGAAACTGTAAAACGAGTCAGCACAAGCAGCACAAAATGCCTGCAGCAGTTTGTTCTGTGCTGATGCTGCCTGTTGAAACACTTGCCCACTGTGTTCTCCTAAACACTGCGTGTCCCTCTTTCAGATGTCAAGCCTTCTAACATCCTAGTGAATTCCCGTGGTGAGATCAAGCTGTGTGACTTTGGAGTGAGCGGACAGCTTATAGACTCCATGGCCAACTCCTTTGTGGGCACTCGGTCGTACATGTCGGTCAGTTAAATTGGAAAAACTCGTCAGTAATCTGGCTGCAAGTTTACGTGTGCCACTTAACATAGCTGTCATTTACCTGCCGGTTTATTATTGTAATAAAATAAGTAAAAGCTATACTACTGATAACTGACACTACCTCTGTTATGTGTTGTTTAGCCCGAGCGCTTACAAGGCACCCACTATTCTGTTCAGTCGGACATCTGGAGCATGGGTCTGTCACTGGTTGAAATGGCCATTGGACGCTTTCCTATTCCACCACCTGATGCTAAGGAGCTCGAACAGATTTTCGGCTTCCCAGTGGAAGGGGAGGCAGCCTCCAGTGATTCCTCCCCAAAGCCGCAGCCCCCTGGGCGACCCGGCAGCTGTAAGTCTGAGAAGGCTCTGGTTCTTGCTGTAACTCTGAAGTGTAGCTTCTGAAGTTACAGCAGCTTTATATCATTTCGAAAAGCTCTGATGAAACAGCTTAAATAAGTTACAGCATAGTCATTGAAGTAATTACACAATGTCTAACCTACAAGGGGCTGATTATTTTGGTTGCACCCCCTTAACAGCATACGGCCCAGACAGCAGACCTCCGATGGCCATTTTTGAGCTTCTTGATTACATCGTTAATGAGGTGAGTTTACTGGATTTATCTACACATGCTGGTATGATGCAGATAGATGCTAGGCTACAGTGTATTAATGCCTTTAGGAGCAATTTAACGCGATATTTGACTTACAAAAACCTCTAAATTTCAGCCTCCACCAAAACTGCCTGCTGTATTTAGTTCTGAATTCCAGGACTTTGTTAATAAATGGTAGGTAGAAGACACGTTTTCTCTCACCTACACTGCACATAATCTTCTGCCACCTAGTGGTGTTTCACGGAACTACACTAAGATGTTGTTTCCACTCCAGCTTGATTAAAAACCCAGCAGAGAGAGCAGACTTGAAACAGTTGATGGTAAGATTTGCACTCTTAATATTCACTTATTACACTCCCTATCTCTATGCATCTAAAAGCTCTCCTTTTCTTCAGGTGCATCCTTTCATTAAAACCTCCGAAGCAGAGGAAGTTGACTTTGCTGGCTGGCTGTGCACCACCATTGGACTCAGTCAGCCTTTGACACCAACACATGGTACCATAATGTGAGGCCTGTTCTGCCTACTACACCCACATCAAAGTCTTCTAATGACTAATTTCTGTTATTGGTATATAAAACTGTTTATACTGATCAAAGTGTACAAACCTAAATGCCAAGTGGAACTATGTATTGAACAAGTCTTTGGGCTACCTTGCAGGCCTTCCTGAAAAGCCATCTTTTTTTTCTAAAGATTTAATTTAATCTTGACAAATGCTGCTCTACCTGTGCTTGATATTCCTTTGTAACCCCAAGTCTTCACAGTGCAAAACCTTTGCTAGCTTATGTGGAATAAATAAGTCCTGTGAATAAAAAGTTTGAATGACAGGTCTGACTCGTGCATTTGAAACAACTGATTTATTCTTCACTGAACTCCAGTTTGTATGTATTGGTTTATGCCTTGGGCTTGGCAGGTGCACCCTTCTTTCCAGGCCTCTTCTTCGGTTTCAGCATCTTGGCCTTGATCTATGGTGAGAACAAAGAGGGGCTCCAAGTTATCAACAAATAGACATACAGTTTTTACTTTCATCTTTAACTGATCAGGCTCTTACCGCAGGGTCATGCTTGAGGATGGCATGACGTCTTGCTGTCTTGGCGTAAGGATTCAGTTTGAGCATTATGTTCAAATTCTTCAGAGGATTCTTTTTCAGAATTCTGCGGTTGAGCTTCTTGCTGTAATGACAATACAATCCACCCTTGAATATGTGAGCTTCTGCTTAACTACAACTTCAGTGAAACTTTCTGCGTCACTCAGGACTTCCATATAATCAGGGTTCAGAAACACGGACCTGAAGTGGAAAATCATCATAGCTGGCAAATAAGACCTCAGGGAAAAACTACACTGAAAAATGCTTACTTGGGTGCACGAAGTGCTTTCTGGATCTCCTCACTCTTCAGAATCCTGGTCAGATCTGTATTGGTCATCTTGTGCATTGGCAGGCTGAAGGAAGAAGAGTCAAGAATTAAAGTCCCTCGTACATGAAGGCAAAAAAGCCGTATGATAAGTTTTGTTGCTCAAACTCAGAACTTCGTTAAATATCACATAGTTCAAAAACACGGACCATGAAGTGGAAGCTCATCACTGTTGTACACCAGCATGATACACTGCACTTGTACTTTTAGAGTGCATGCTCTCAAAATACTCAAATACTCACTTGTAGTCAACCTTCAGGGAGGCAGCCTTGCGCCATGTGCCGTACAGGTCATCCAGCTTGCGGAAAGCACTCTCGGTCCAGATGCAGAACCGTCCAACGTGACCACCGGGAGCGAGCCTCAAAAGGTTCAGTTTGTTCACGTTCAGCAGAGTGATGCCTGCAAAATGCAGCACAATAATCAAACATCTGCATGTTGATGAACCAATTATCTTGAAGCTATAGTGAGTTTTTAAAGGGCAAATGACTTATTTAAGACTCAACTATACTATAAACACTACAATTACAACTCATCAGTATTCAGGCAAACTTGAAGTTACGCATGCATAAATGAAGAAAACAATTAGAGTTTAATTGAAAGCAAAGTTAGCTAGTTTTAGTATCTTGATCATTTATTCCATTTCATCCAATAGAACATTCCATTTTAACTATACCATAATTAAATGTAAGAATCATAATATCCATTTTCTAACACCGTAATAAATTCTAAATTTTAACCGGGACATTTACCGGGGATATTTCTGAAGGCTTTGGTTAAGCCAGCATCTTGGTTGTAGATAATGCACGGCCCTCTGCGCTGGATACGTCTGCGATTCCTCATCTTACCCTTACCGGCACGCATACGCTGAGAGGCATAGACCTGAGAAGAGCAAATAAAACTCCATTATTAATAATTAAATGCCCCCAGTGCCAACTCAGGAAAAAGAAGAATGATTTGACTTGGGGAAAACTACTGATGAAACTCAGTGTTCCTCAGTGTTTTGAGGTTACTGTACCTTCTTAATGTCATTCCAGGCTTTGAGCTTCTTCAGCAGCAGCACTGCCTCCTTGGTCTTCTTGTAGCCCTCAACTTTGTCTTCAACCACCAGTGGGACTTCAGGGATTTCCTCTATGCGGTGTCCTAAAAGGAAAGATTGTTAAGAATCAGTCAAAGACAATGACAGAGAAAACTGCTAGGACTATCAAAGTTACAGCATTAACTACACTTGCTCAGATTTAAAGGACATCAATACTCTGTGACAGCTTAGAGACGGCAGGCAACCGTCACTGTTCACAGGCTCAGACGCAAATTACACCATCACAGCAAGTCAAATGTTAGGCTGAATCAAAAAGGGTTCATTTTTGGTCAAAATATATTTCCATGCTGGTTTCTACCAATTCATGTCCCATTCGAACATCTTTTGACTCTTACCTTTGGACATCACAAGTGCAGGAATGGCAGAGGCGGCCAGGGCAGAGCAGATAGCATAGCGCTTCTGGGGTACGTTGATCCTGCGATGCCAGCGGCGCCAGGTTTTAGTGGGGGCAAACATACGACCACCACGACACATCTAGACCAAAGTCAAGGACCACTGACTTAAAAAACTTAAGTAAATAACTATTTTATACCTGCTCAGACTCAATGTTCATCAGCCATCTGTGCCAGCATATGACAGCAGGCATTCTGTCACTGGTCACAGAGTCAGACGCAAATTACACCATCACAGCAAGCCCACAGAATTAAGTTTGCCTCAGTATACATATTACAAAGTGGGAAAAACTCTTGTAATCATCAAGAGGATACGTTTCCAAAAGCACCCTGGCCAGAACGGTGAGTACCACCACCTCTCACACGAGGGATACGGGCCACAGCTCTTCCTGTACCCCAGGACTCAGCACTGGTCTGGTGGCCTAAAACACACATAACACATAATCTATATTGTGTACATAACACCTTAATAAAACGTTTACTATATGCCAAGTACATTTATGCACTCACCTGCCAGTTCACTGACTGCATAAGGCTGGCGGTTGTTCTTGCGCATGTTGGTGTGCACAAAATTCACCACATCAGGGCGAATAGGGGCCTTGAACACTGCAGGCATGACAACATTTTTGCCTGAGGATTCTCCTTTCTCGGAATACACCGAGATGAGGGGTCGGGCACAAGCCTGAGAAAGAAATAAACAATCGTCAGATGTATTCTGTAAGAGAAAGTTATGTAGGCAATTCAAGAGTCTAAACCTGTGTAGTATGTGTCTTTAAGACATCCAGGCATGTGACAGGAGAAAAACTACTAACTTATAATTCAGATTTAAAAGGCAGATTAATCTTGACGTAATTGCAGTTTCAATAAAATATCCCTGCTTTAACCGACACAATCAAAGTAAGGTTTCATTTAGCCAACATGAAATCTGCCTCGGTTAGCCTCAGTTTAGCTCGTTTCTGCTAAGACGACTTGGCCAGGTTGTTTAAACGTAACATTAATTGTAAATGATAACGGCCGAATATAGCGCATAGATAAATTCAAATGGCAGAAACAACCATCTAACTTTAGATGCCATCAAAATACGCAAGATCAGCCTTCAGTGATCTACCCCTGAAAGGACAGCCACACGTGTAACTTGTAGCCGCTCACTCAAAATGGCTCCTCGTGTTAGCTTTGCTAGCTGGGAGCGTTTCAATTTGCTGCTATATTACATCGGAACCTATGATTTCCAAATTCACAAAACACGCGCTTGCTTGTTCAACACGAACCACAATATGAAGACTCGTGTATTATATCACGTTAGCCTTGAAAAACATGGAAATTCTCACCATTTTCGGTAGTTATTTTCGGCTCGCCGGGAACCACACTCCTCACGGTATGGCGGCCACAGTAAAAAAGGAAGTTGGCGATTCACCCTACATGGTTTATGCCTCCGCTTTAAATCACCACTTCCGGTATCAACATCATCGTGATAAGTCCTTTGTATAACTTCATAAAACGAGCACAGGAAAATGAAAAAGAATACACTGCATAAATTATATAGCATGTTTAATTTGTCAGTGCTTAGCATGTTTAGCCAAGCAATTTTAAAACCGTTCTTAAACATGGGACTATTTCTTTACTCCATGTTGGCGCAGGAAAGATTGAACCATTTCTTTCCTCGTTATTTTTAATCAAATATTTTTTTTATTTTATTAAAAAAAATCTTGTATATTCGTATTTCTGATACATTTTCAATCTATTTTATATCTCATTATTTTATTTATTTTATGAGGGAAGTGTGTGTTCACCTATGACCCCATGTCGTCACCCTCTGCTTTTCGAGCGCGCGACTGTCAAAATATCAACAACGGATTTGTTCATTTTAAACTCGTTTAGCCACTTTCGTATGTTTTATGTACATCCTTCCTTCTGTAACAGGATACACAGACCATAATTTGGCGATGTGCTCGAAGATTATATCTAGGGCTAAAGAGTTTTTCACGATTCTTCGGTGAGTTTTGGATGCATAGCGATTCTAACAAAAAGTTAACCCTCAGAATGATGGGTGAAACAAAGTTCATTTCTGTCGTGTTGATTGCAGCTCTCTTCAGGATGCGGAAAGCAGTGATCCGTATATATATGAGGTAAATTCGTGCATTCTTAAGTAAGCTGTCGTGAGTCAATGCATCCGTCGCTGTTACAGTAATGTTGATATCTTTTGGGCTTCAGGAGGAGGTCCAAATAGTGAAGATGAACGGAGACGGAATCCCTGCGGTGAATATGTATTGTGGGAACCAGACCGTCTTCGTCTGTGAAAAAGCTGTGAGTAATGTCAGTCCTTGGACTCATTTACCATATCGTAAATATGTAGACCCAATAATAAAATTTTACTTTGTAAGATTCTACTTTTTTACTTTACTCTTTTAGGAATATTTTTACCTAGTTGTGTTTATAGCGACACAACATACAGGAATAACTGTTGACTGGCTCTGACTTTTGTTGTAAAACATTTTACTTTGTTTATCTCTAGCATCCAAACTACTAATACATCTCAAGGCCTTTTAGGCCTTTTGTAAAAGCTGTGGACCTGCTTTTAATTTGAAATCTCCAAAGGCCTGTACTGCAAAGAATGATTTGTGCTTATTCATATAACTTCAGGGCATGAGAAAGATGGTTCATGTCTTTACAAGGTGCATTACCATGGCAACTTATTCTGCAGACCTCATGGTGATTTCTATCAGAAAACAAGCGTGAGACTAATTGGACTCTTTTATAGGAATTTCTTTATTACTCTCCAGGGGAAACGTAAGCACCCCACACCTTCACCTCACATATCTCAAGATGCCCCTTGCTCCACACCTTGCCGCCTGTTGAACAATACTGTCTTCACTTGCAGTCTAAACTTATTACTTTCCATTTTCTTACATTAACCCATTTCTCTCCTTTCTAAAGAACAAAGCGTAGACTGGTTTTGTCTCGCCAGACTTTACAGGATTGTTCTGCCAAAAGATCTGTCCCTATCTACATCCTGTAACTTTCCCTGGAGCAGATTACGTTTGAGATTAAAGATCACCACATAGTGACCAGTGGTAAATGGACCGATCCTTATATCCACTTTTCTGCTCTAACTGAGTGTTCATCGTACTACAAGTTTCATTCACCCAATCACGCACACATTCATAAAAGTGCCTTGACTAACATTCTTAGATTAGATTAGATTTGATTAGATGAAACTTTATTAATCCCTCATGTGGGTTCTTTCAGGAAATTCAGTTTCCAGTAGTACAGCACCAACAGAAGTTACATGCTACAGAGTTACAGAGATGAATGGGGCAGCTCGAGGTTCAATAGTTGGAGAAACCGGGAACTACCGACCTTCTAAATAGTTGACAACCTTTTGTACCTCCTGAGCCACAGCTGCCCCGTCCTAATCAGTTCTCTGGGAAAAGGTGTCAGGATTCCTGCAAGTTCCCTTGGACCTTTGTGTGTGGATAGTAGAAGTTATTTACATTTTTTTAATAGTGTCTAAAGTATTTGTCTTTTCCTGATGAGCATCAGACAGAAATATGTATTCATAGGTAAAACCTTACTTCTTGATTTTATTTATTTTGTTCCCTTGTTTGCTGCAGCCAGTTTAAAAAGAAAATTATTGTTCAGTAAGGATTAATATACAATTCCAAAACTGGCCACCTCTTTGTATTTGTTACATTTGAATTCTATTTTTTATGTATTCCTACTCTCAGACTGTTAAACACCACGTGGGCTGCAGCTAAAAATTCATTTCATGAAATAACATTTGCAATCCACCACATTTAGAGAACAAAAGAATGAGTTTTCTTATACAAATGGCAGAAATGAATTTCCTTTGAAGGGTGGCTGGCCTCTTCCTTAAAGATGGAGTGAAGAGCTCAGTCAATTGAGAGGGGCTCAAAGTAGAGCGGCTGCTCCTCCATATCGAAATGAGCCAGTTGAGGTGGTTCAGGCATCTGACTACGATACCTTCTCGATGGCTCCTAGCTGAAGTATTTTAGGCATGTCCTATTGAGAAGATCCCCCAGGACAGCCCTAGAGATTATATCTCTCAGATGGCTTGGGAACAACTCGGTGTCACCCCTGGATGACTTGGAAGAGGTGGCCAGTGTAAGGGAACTCTTGGCTTCCCTGGTGAGACTTCTGCCCCGGTGACCAAATCCCGGATAAGCAGTAGAAAATGAATGGATGTGTCCACCAGATTCTCCCTTGTCTTAATGATAGAGCACTGATACTGAGAAGTCTCTTAACGTACATAGTTCCTTTCTTCTTCTTTTTTACCGGCTTTCCTGGTTTTGTTTTCCTTTGTAAAATTTACTCACTCCGTTGACAGTAGACTTATCAATGTTTCTAATTGGTCAGATGCTGTCAATGCTGCCCTTAGATAATGGAAAGATAACTGGGCATGTAGAGCTTCACTGTTACAGGGTTCAGGACTGCGTTTTAGTCTAGATGGGCAGAGACTTTTGGAAAAAAGGATGCAGACACACATTCACTCCATGATCTCAAAAAGTTATTTTTTGAGATCAATAATAAAAGTTTATTATTATTATTATTATTATTAAGTCTTTCCGTCCAGAATAAAACCCGAGTTCCAGAGTTTTCAAGCTGAAACTGGGCCAGTAGTGTTTCCAAAATTCCCAATTGTAGGAATATTAAAACACTGAATGTATGCTTAGATGACTAACCAGTCTCCTCCTCGTCGCTCACCATTGAATTGTGCTCTGATTTCACTAAGGTTTCAAAAATAAGCGAACCAGGTGACGAACAAATGACCGAGGCTTCAAACCTTTCTGACGGTGATGCTGATGATGCTAACGACAGTGCCCACGTACTTCAAACTGAAATGGGACCGCAGCCACTTTCAGTCATGAAAGCAAGGTGATTAGTGCTAAGACGTTTAAAATTTAATTGCAAAAGAAATACGCGCTGGTAAGATGTGCATATTTAATCCACCACATCTGACAAAGTTTTTTTCTTCTTCTTTGTACAGACAGTTTCTCTCTTGGTATACATTATCTCAAAATGCCAGCATGTCAGCTGAGGACACGAATCTTCCTTTATACCCTCTGTGGGTGCGATGCGACATGTCTGATCCTGCTGGAACGACCTGGTTTGGGGCTGAAACAGTCTGCGTGGGCACTAAAGTTACTGGTGTCAAACTGTATTCCATCACCTCAAAAGGTATTGCTTAGAAACATCACTCCTCTTTGAATAACCCATTTTTAAACATTATCAGTGCATTTACTGATGATTTGTATGTATTTGTATCACTTGTTTCTATTTTCCTGATGTTAATGTTTTTAGGTTCAACTGCAGACAAACAATCCCTCACAACCTTAGAAGAACTGAAGCAAGAGCATAAGAAACGGCATCATCCATCCTCGGTATTTCAGTTTTCATCCTCTTTTGCAAGTCTGTCTGTGCGAACGAATGCCCGTGTTCTTACACTGATAAATACTTCTAGGTGGGGATTAAAGGCAGTGCCAGGTTCAGCCTGTTTGGTTCCACTGTTGTTGAAAACACCACCATTGAGTCTCAGAGCAGCGTGACTGTGGATTTCAAATGGAGCCATGTGGAGAGTATTCTTGAGACCCCACCCCTGTCCTCTACAGCAACATTAGTGAGCAGCAATAATGACCTCTTATAATAATCCCTTCTTTCCCTTAAAAAGCTTACTTTTTATATTTCTAGTTAATTAATATGCTATTATGAATAGAAAAGGAAAACATGTATCTGGAAGTAGTACCAGCAGATGAAGCTGAACAGACACAGACTGATTTTTTAATGTGTTTATCTTTTTTTATGCAGAATATCAAAATTGCCAGTGGAGACATGAGAAGTCCCATGTTTGAGATGTATAGGGAGCTGGAGTTTCTACTGGTTTGTCTTCCACTGTAATCTAAAATGACAGCAACTACCAGCATCCACATAAATAACTAAATATATCTGAATCCTGTTATTTCAGACTCTCGCTGATGGTTTGAGAACTGGTGAGACTGAATGGATGGAACCGCTGGAAAGCACATCGCCTGTAAATCTGACCAAGGCTTACCTAGAAGGCATGAAGCACTGCTGAATCAATACATTGTAAATCTGATGTAATGCTACCTGGTACTTATGATTATTTTTTCATTTTTAATTCTTCTTTCAGAGCTACAGAACACTGCAAAAACACTGCAGGATCAGGCTGCAAGAACGCCCGAGGTAGGATGGAGCCATTATCACTAAAACATTAATTTCACAATAAATCTGCTAGAGTCTTGGGGTTTTTTCCTCTCCATCTTTTTCAGAAGACCTCGAAGCTGAAGTCTGAGACAGAAACTCCCATTTTCAACTCGTTCCTGGAAAGAGGAGATTTGGATTTTGTGGAGCAGCTTTGGGTTCGGATGAGAAAAAGTGAGTTAGGCCTTCCATTCAGGAAACTGGGATGGATTTTAGCATTTTACAAACAGACAGAAAAAAACTTTGTATTGCAGGTGTGACTTCATATCAGGACATTGGAGACTGCCTGAAGTTGGTCATTGACGCTCTAAGATATGGTGACATCAAACCCTGGGTAACAACATAAAACATTTCCGCTTTTGAAAACTTGGAGTTAGATGAGTTTGGATGTTGCAGTTGTTATTTTATTAATTCATTGATTAATTTTTTTTGTTTGTTTTTTGTTTCACATCATCCAGATTCACAGAGACAGCAGCAGTTCCCTCAGCAAGCTCATTCTGCAGTCGTACCACCAGCAGATCGAACATGTGTCTCTTACAGGCTTCACGCCTGTCAACATGCTGCTGGAGATGGGTCTGGATAAGATGAGAAAAGACTATATTAACTACCTGATTGGTAACCTTTAATTATTCATTTGGAGCTCTTTCTTTGACTCTGTGTTTGTGTTATGCTCTCTGGATGATAGGCCATTTGCAATTTGTGTTTGTTTCTTAGGTGAAGAACTGACGACTTTAAACCACTTGGTAAGCTTTACACTGTTTCTCAGTTCTTTTCAAGTGTCTGTTAGCATAGTACTGACTCTGAGTAATTTCCTCCACAGTGTTTTTACCTCAGCACGGAGGTTGATCTGCAGGAACAAGTGATCCGACTCAGGAAACTGCACCATCTGCTGGAAATAATTGTGACCTGCAGCACATTCCTTGGTTTGCCCTACGATCGTCTCTTTCTTCTCACGCAGTAAATCTTTTGACTTTTTTTCTGCCCCAGTGATATGTGACTGTGCAGAAGTATTTCTTCTTTTAAACTGGTATTTAAATAAACAATTCCCTCTCCTGTTTTTCCCCCTTTCCTGTCACATAGATTGTGTTTGCAGCACTACAGAACGTCACCTTATGATGAAGAGCACGAGTTCAAACTCCAAATCAAACCTGCCCTGATCAGTCATTTCTACCAAAAGTAAGGAATGCAAGCCTTTTTTTACTGCCTGCTTTATTGTGAAACTGGGATATTTGACCTTATTGTTTGTGAATATGACATTTTTATAGTGGACATAATCATATTGATAATGAAAATATGCAACAATTATATATTGTAGATTTCAGTTCTTTAATCCGTCTTTGTTGTTGGGGGTTTTAATCATCTAATAGTATATAATGCTAGCAGACTGCAAAGTGCAATCAATCTTTTGGCAACTCAGTGATGACACTAAACATGCTTCGGTTATATTATCGATCTAAATCTCTCACCTCAAGCTGAGGTGCAAACATGACAGATTTAAAGGAGCTGTCACAAATGCCAAGAGAGCCAATTATTCCTTTGTGCCAAAAGACAACGGTTCAACTGAAGATTTCCAAGACACTTCAAATTGAACGAGACACTGTTGGGATGTTAGTTCAAAAGTCAATGTATTATTGCAAACCTTTACATGCAGGAAGGACCTGACGAAGGCGGGGGGAAAAACACTTAACAAGCAAAAATGTCAGGCCTGTAAACCTCACCACAGTCCAATCTCGACTGAACGGCACATAAAAGTCGACCTGAATGTGACGCCCGCAGAATTCTGGCAGTCTATTATGTGGAGTGTTGAAAACAGAGATCTCAACGGCTTGCGAGAAACCACATAAAACATTTATTGAAAGTCAAAGGATATATTGGTAGATGTTAGGCTTTTTTTCTTTCTTCTTTTTTTTACACAGAATTGAGTTTTTCTGTGTTCATCTTTGTGCTCTACAGGGAGCACCCAATACTGTGGGGGGTTGAGGTGTCCAGTGGTCATGGTCCTCGTGAGGTCAGGACCTCCTTACATCTTAGTGACAGACCACTGGTTGATCATGTCATCTTTGAAACAGGTGATTTTTATTTACTGAATATATAAGTGACTAGCCCAGTAAAGTATCGATAACAATATTCTTCTTTAACTATTCTTTTGTTTTTAGACTATCCAAATGAAACCGTGAATGGGGACAGTGAGGATCCTGCTTTCTTCTCCACTATGGCGTACTGCAGCCTTGTCAACTTTGCATGAATTTATAAAACATGCTACTAACGCCTCAACAGCAAATTTCAGTCGTTTGTGTGTGTGTGTGTATATGTTTTTTGTGTGTATATGTTTTTTCCAGTCACATCTTTATTTTCACATTTTGCTGCTCAAGGAAAGACAGGAAATATTCTGCCAAACAACTTAGCTGTATCCAAATGAAAGTAGATCAGTAGATCACCTGGCGTCTTTGCAATACCAGTATCCTATAGCAGCAGTTTAATTAGAAACTCTGACTCCTTTTTCCTTCTACGCAAAACCAGTCATTTTAGAGCAAAACGCTTTACACACATCAAATCGATAAAAATCACCAGTTCTTTCAGTTCAGCTCAAATGATGTATTTATATTCACACGTTATCCAATAAAGAAGTGATGCACTTACATTTTAAATGTGTGCATATGTGTGTGTGCCGATGCTTGTGATGTATAAACACGAAAGCCTTCCTAGTTACGCCTCCGCAGCAGGAACATGAGGAAGATGGCACTGAGCAAAATGGAGAGTGTGCACACAGTGGGAACAACGATCTCAGTCACCATCTCCATGTGGCTGGTCAAAGGGTCTGCAAATCACATACACACACACACACACTCATTAAAAACTTATGGGCATCGTTATATCGTCCAAACACTGCCAGTGAAGCGAAAGCTCAAGCACAGCACTCAAAGGGTTAATACTTGTCCCGGAATCACAATTTTGGTCTAATTCATAGAGAGCATAGGGATTCCTTACCATGTATAAGTCTTAGAATATTGGCAGCAGTACTCCGCTGTTCCTCTAATAAAAGAAGAGAAAGTACTCAGAGTTGATTAATGGCACTTTAACCCTTTGAGAACTGCATGCAGCTACAGGGGAATATTTCAGAAAGCAGTGTTTTTACCAGATGACTATTAAAAGCAGTATTCTGAAAATGACTTAATATTACAAGCCATCAGCAAGCAGGTGAGGCTTATGTTTGAAATTTTGATTTCAGTTCAGATATATCACTGACTTTATTGGTGCCATTACATTACCCAGTTACATTTTTAATCTCTGCTTTGTGGGCTGAAGTGCACCGCTTTGCTTTATGCCTGTTTGCGAGTTTTTGTTAAAAAAGCTCTTTTAAAAGGAGCAAAAGCTTGTGTTTAATTGCAGGTGTTAAACGCAGGAGCTTGTTAGTCAGAATTGTAAACACACAATTGCAAAGTGACAAAAGAGAAAAAAAGAAATCAGATTGTTAGAAATAGGAAGCATGTACCCTCAAGTTCTAAACTTCATCATGCACAGGCCAAACCTTTGGCATTTCTGCATGTTCCTGGGATTTTCTTCTAGCTGGAGGGGCAAACAAAGAAGATATCTCAGATCGCCTGTAACAGATTCTACTAATCAATTTTTAAATTTCAACTATTCTTCTTAACACTATTTGTCCGTGCATGTTCTGAGATGGCTGAAGAAAAGAAACAGATTTATTATTTTCATTGTTATAGTGTTCAAATTTTTAGGACATTTTTTTGTTTGTTTGTTTGCTGTTTTTTTCCATATTTTGGCAAGAATCTTTATTTGTTTACCCCTGCTAGTTGTTCAACCCTATATAGTTAGGAACATGGTCAATGATGTTACAGACGAACTGACCTGCAGCTAGAAGCTGATTGCTGGAAGAGCACGTCTCAACTGCCTTTCGCCTCCAGTTTTCAACCTGTGGAGGTTCACAAGACAGTCAAATATAATCAGAATAAACCATGTAATGAAAAACCCCTCAGACTGGCAGGGCTTTGTAGTCCTTTCTGCTCACCTCTCTTTGATTGGGAAATCCATTGTAGCTGATAATGCGTTTGTAAAACTGAACAGAAGCTTTGGGATAGCGAGGCTTGTTTTTGTTCCTGAAGTCCACATAGTACAAGCCAAATCTCTCAGAGAAACCTTCATCCCACTCAAATTTGTCCAGCAGCGACCATGCAGTGTAGCCCTTCACATTGACTCCGTCTTTGATAGCTGGGTGACAAAGAGATCAAAGAGCTTGATAACTACAAAAAAGTAATTTCAATTTAAGACAGTGGGCACATTTTTGCATTTTTTGTTCAATACATGTGAGCTCATTCACCTTTAAGCATCTCATTGATGTAGTCTTTGTAGTACACTATCCTCCATTCATCACAAAGCTCTGTGCATAACATCTTCTCAGAGACTCCATTTGCAGTCACATAAATCATTGGGTTCCCATACTGAGTCTAGATGAGGATGAAATCAATATGAGTTTTTTTTTTTTAAGTAAAGAGTATGTAGCACAAATATCAATGAGTAACCTTGACAAAATTGAGCAGACGTCTAAAACCCCAGGGCACGGCATAGAGCCACTCTGATCCAGGGTCAGGCCATCTTGGGTCAACTAGCTCAGCCAGGTCACGGTCACTAAAGTAGTTGCTGCTGCTACGGCCCGATGGGTTGTTTTTTTGGGTGATGTAGCGGGTGGTGAAATGACCAATGCCAAGGAAGTCACAGGTCCCCTTTATGTAGCTCTTCTCTTGAGGGGAAAATGTGGGCAGTCGAGACGTCCCGAGGCCCTGCTGGACACTCTTTCTCCCTGCACATTGCCACAAATAGCAATTATTTAATTCCTGTTATATAAATAACACTAATTTAGGAGCATTTACAGTTTAACATACCTATGAAGTCTTTCATCACTTGAGGGTAGTCGCCATGAAAGATCGGTGTGGCAAACCATCCCAGGTGGAACTGGACATATCTCTCAGCTGCTTCAATGTCTTTCTGGTTGCTGATATCCACCGGTTCTCCCCATTCCCCCGACAGAGAGATGCCAACCAGACCTACGGATTTAAACAGGAGCTCTCAGCAATTAGAAAATATAATCTTTTTAGTGGTAAACGCTGACTTTCATTTTCTTTACCTTTTTGCTTCCCCCTCCACTGTGAGTCATACGTGTGCCAAACTTTAGCATGTGCCTATGAAAAAAGTATTTTTTCACATTTCACTTTAAAGTCTTTATTAATTACTGTGTAGTTTTTATACTGTAATTGAATAAAAGTGACGTCTTATACCTTAATGATATGATGTGCAGCTCTGTATGCTCCCGTTCCCCTCAGCCTCAGTCCAGGAGCGTGTTCCCCCGTCTCATAACCTTCAACAGCTACAGACTGGTACATGTGCATAAATGTGCATAAATACAATACTTTTAATGCTGACGGGAGTTAAACTTGTGCATGTATTTGTTGTATAAATATTTCTTGTAAATGTACCCATGGATTGTTGAAAGTGATCCAGTACTTGACTCGGTCGCCAAATCTCTCAAAGCACAGGTTAGCAAATTCATTGAAATAATTGACCATGCTTATATTTTGCCATCCACCATATTTCTCTTGCAAGACCTATAAAAACAAACAAACAAAAGAAACATATTGTTTAAAAAGTTATTAAGAACAAAGTTGAGGGTTCTCTGTATTTTGCTTACAAACCTGTGGAAGATCCCAGTGATACAAAGTAACAATCGGAGTGATTTTGTTCTCCAGTAGGTGGTTGATCAGGTGATCGTAGTACTGTATTCCCTTTTCATTTACATGGTCAGCTGGAAAGAGTGTTTTAGCATGGATTACTTTTAAATAAAACCACATTCTGCCAGTTTATTTCATCAAAAGGCTTAACATCAGTTACCCACATTTTATGCCAGTGGGAAGGAGTCGAGGCCATGAGATAGAGAAACGATAGTGGTTAAGCCTCAGCTCCTTCATCAGAGAAATATCATCCTGCACAAAAGGCATACACTGGATTACTTGGTGTCCTAACTACAAACCTTCCTCTCCTTACACCTCAGACACACCACACCTGATCGCCCTACCTTGACTTTGTAGTAGCCCTCACAGGAGAAATCCCCAGTGTCATTTCGTTGGATCTTGCCTTTCTTATGACTGAACACGTCCCAGATGCTCAGTCCTTTTCCATCTTTGTCCCAGGCTCCTTCTGTTTGATAGGCTGAACCTCCGGCACCCCACGAAAATCCTGAAAAACAAAACGTTAGCAGATCTGGGTTACACGATCACAGTTTAGGAGGACTAATGGCACTAAATACAAAATGAATAAAATGTAACCCCACTGAACAAAACGAACTGTGTGTACCAGCTGGAAAAGTGCCATAATAGAAGGAGCCGTGGTGGTTCTTTGTCCAGTCGAAGTCCTCAGCCGCAGACACACACAGCACCAACATAAGCACATGGCACACACCGACTGCACAGCGGGGCAGCATGGTACTTTTGAGCCTGCAGCACAGTTCGTGTCTCACTCTGCTTCAGTCGCTCACTACCACCTAAATACAGATGAGAAGCATTCAGCACCCACACTTAATGACAAAAAGAAGCGTGGTCTGGAGTAAACATGTCATATTCAAGCCAAAATGCACACATGCTTGCAAACCTTTCAAATAAAACCTGTGTAAAATTGGTATAATAACAATAAACTATCACCAAGTTGTCTGGAAGCATCCAATGTGCTGGACTGTGGGGGGTCCCACGTCCATAATGCAAAGCCAAATGGAGCTTTTCAGACTCAATGGTCTGTGAGCTCATCTTGCTGAGGCAGACAGATCCCATTCAAACTACGGTTTCACCTCTGTAAGCAAAGCTAATGTTGGAGAGGTTGATATATTTACAGTGCACAATCACACAACAATGGATGAACTTTTCCTCACAAACAGGCAAATGTAAGAGGACCTTACAATTGCTGCTATTTCTTTTGTTTGCAAATTTAACTTAAAAGTAAACCCAGTTATCTTTGCAAATAATTTCCAGGTGTTCAGGAGCATCATAGCAAAACAGGAGATACTGCACTGTAAGCATGAAAAATTGAAAACAGAAATATGGCAAAGCATAAATACAGCCTGAAAATGTAATGTGCCTGCATACTAATTCTACACACTTCTGCCTATGTTCACATCTCTGCTGCCCCCCTCCCCCCCCCAACTTTTGTTTAAAAAAAAATATTACAGTATTTTTCCCCATTTGTTACCTGTTAACCTTACGAACAAGGCATTTGCAGGTCTGCGCAGTGACTTTGGGGTGAATGGCAGCTCTCTCCTGGACTAGCAGACCCTGTGGACAGCTGTTATTTGTGCAATCTCTATTATACATTCCCTGTTGTAGCACCACCCTTCTCCAGAGCTGTCCCTGCTGTCAGGATGAAAGCTGGCCTTATTGTGAGGCTCGCTGTATTGTTTTAACTGTTTAGAAAATGCTGAATGGTTTTCTCGTGGAAAGTGTTTGCACTGCACTACCCATTTGCCCGGGTCAGGTTAGGACACGAAGTGAACACAGATGTTATCTTGAAGTGTACACTGTAAAAAAAACAGGCTGGTGAAAATGTATGCAAAACATTTATTTTGTGCTTACATAATACAGACATACTATCTCCTTATATGGCCCAGCCATACATTTTCATCAACAGACACATCTCAACATCAGACCTTCTAATTCTCAAAGTGGGTTGATGCTTTCATTCTCCGAAAATACACAATATGTTTAGAAAGCTATGAGTTTCTCATAACACTGCCTCAAAGCATTTCAGCAGCAGATTTCCCACAAAGTTTGACATATGACTAACATGGTGTGAAATCCTGGTGACGTGCCTTAAATCCAGCAAAAGAGGAGATATTGCTAGCACCGGACATTGTGACACTGCTACTTACTCCACCCAAATAAATAAAACGTCTTCAGTGATAATACAAAACAGGTGAACAAATAACAGGCATCTGTTCATGTTCTTCTTCAGTGGTGTAAATACTAACACTGATGGATCTCAGTAATCTTCTTCCTCCTCATCCTCCTCAGGCAAAAATCCGAGTTCGTTGTCATCCTCATCCCCCTCCTCATCTTCCTCCTCCTCCTCCTCCTCATCCTCCTCCTCTTCTTCTTCTTCCATATCATAATCTGCCGCAGCATTCAAGAGGAGTTTGGTTCGATTAATCTCACTTTCATCATCCAGATTAACCTCAACCTGAAACATTCAACAACAAAAAAGAAAAGAATTGATGTTGAAAGGTGAAAACTTTACAACCAGTTGTCATAACCAGACACAGACATCATGCAAAAGTGTGGGGGTGGGGGAAAAATAAGCAAAGAAGAGATTGGGTCAGTGTGAGTCTGTCTGGCTGATGGTGCAATCTCTTGAGACAATATCATCAATTGCTCACTTTAACCATGAAATCAATCATAATCACATGCAGAAGCAACAAGTTTATGTTTCAGGGAATCCCACTCTGCAGCCTCTGAATTACTGAATTAAAACAAAAAGGACAAATATCCCAAGACACATATAGTACCTCTCTAAATATAAACTACTGATAAAAAAAGTTAGCTGCACTCTGACTAAATGACTGTGCTCCCCTTAAGCAAATTACTGCTAGAGAAACACAGTTATTTGGTCTTGATATGAATGAAAATGACCGATTGTAATAGTCTCCAGTGTTGTGTCCTTTCCTGGTGCAGAGATCTACCTCAGGTTCGGGCGATAAGCGTTGAGAGGTTCCTTCTTCTGTTTGAGCATTAATAATAGACTTCAGGGCCCCCTCTTCAAACTGAAATGCAGAAGAAGCACACAGGACATAAACTACAGGTATGTACACAAATTCCAGCATGCTTGTATTTTGCAGCTTGCACTGACCTTTAACCTGTTCAGTTGGTCCTGTAGCATGACTTTGATTTTTAGAAGAGTCTCCTCTTCCTTCTTTAACTCCTGCAGACGGCTAAGCATATTTGCTGCTGCAGTCAGACCATTCCTCAATACTGAGAGAGAAACCAGACAGCACAAGGATGCTTTACAAAGCTTTTTTTATTTGATTATTCGCTCTCCGGTACCTTGAGTTTACTGTACTAATTCTATTGCCAACACGTTTGGCCTTTTCTGTCTCATCTTTTAACATTTAATACCACTATATTCAATATACTTAACAACTCAGCAGGTAGTATTAGCTGGTCAAAATATCAATTTTATAGTAGACTACAACAATGCATTAATCGCAGCCAGTTATTAACAGATCAGTATTTAATGTCCGCAACAACACACTGTTTCTGGAAATTTTGTAACATGATTTTGTTATTCCTAGCTAGCCGCTACAAAGAGCACTTTGGAGGCAAAGCGTGTATCCCACATAATAAACAGTTTATGTCCCCAGGTGAGTAACAAAAACAATTTTAAGACAATTACCTCCGTTTATAAATTCAGCCTACAACTCCATACCAACGCCAAAATTATTGAAACACAGGATAAAGTGCCTCCTGAAGCTTCTTATTTAGGATAGGAAAAGCAGCAGAGATGTTGTGCTACAGCTACGGCTACCGCTACTAGCCAAACTTTGGTTCCTGTGCTGTCATGTCCGGGTTTAATGTGCCTTCACGTCCTGTCGGACAAAACAGTTGTTAAATAAGACTGTCACGGCTTTACTAGATGCAGCAATACCCATCTGTAATTTCACGCTTTTCTTGTTTTTACTAATTAACTAGATTCAGTTTGATGTTGTTATTTTTGATACTCTATTTGTATTTCTTCCTCTTAAAAGCCAGTAATACAATTTCACATAGGCATTGAAAGGCAGCATTAGCGAAGTGTTGCACATGGTGACATCTTGCGGTAAAGTGGCAGCAACTGCAGCCTTGTCCTTTTTGCTTCCAGAAACCCCAGTGACCAATCTGCTTAGAAGCAAATGAAGGTTTAAGACGGTAAGAAAACCTAGCTGTTTTTGTAACAGCGACTGTATAAACTCCTGTTAACAAACCGCAGCAGTGGTTACAGCACCTGGTTATCAGCTGACTTAGTTAATTAAACAGTATCAATGAAATTCTTTGGTACACCAGTTGAAGTGGTCGGTGTCAACTTTACAGCGCCAGGAAGCCTAATATGTAACAAATGTAGCCCACGGTGTTAGTTCCCCTTATAAAACACAAAGGTCATGCTAGTGGGAGACAAACAAGCCTTTAAGGGGACGAAGTGAGGCCTATTGCTGCTTGCTGTAAATTTGTCTGTAATGTCACCTTAAGTAAGGTGAGTGACATTTTAATAACAAAGAGTTTGCTAACATGCTGTAAGAAATTTTGCATGAAGCCAGAAGCTGGGCACTTAAAATCCCTGCTATGCCACAGAGTACATAGGATCACCATGTATGCTGAGGTTGACAGAGACGGAGCACTGCCACTATATGGCAGTTTATCTAAAACTGCCATATAAGAAAATATTCAGCGATGCAGCACATTATCTGCAAACAAACAAACAAACAAACAAACAAACAAACAAACAAACAAACAAACAAAACAAACTCCAGTACACTGAAAGGGAACAAGAAAAGTAGATGATGAATTCAGTGAAAACACAATAAATTGCAGATGGAGCTCACTGATGTGAACAAGATCTGAAACGGCTCTTAATCAGTCTTCAGAAATGTTTGAAGAGCCCATTAGGGTCTTTATAGGATTTATTTCTAAGTCCATCCAGATGTGTGTGTTGATAATCACAGCACAGGCACCAATATGGAGCTCAGCCAAAAGCAGAAGACATACAGTACCTCTCTGTTCACACACGTCAAAACAGGAAAATTAAGAATTTCCTAATTATCCTTCATATATTAAAACTTGGCTAGTTTTTGCCATTAGTTCAACAGTTTTTTCTTCTTAGCAACATAGAGATCAGGAATCAGGGTTATAGCTGGATAACATCACCATGGTAAGAAAGGATGGGTGAACTCACTGTGTAGTCACACACAATATATATAATATACACAGAGTGACACATTAAAGGAAAAACCCGAACCGTCAACTCCTACGGTGAGAGGGTCATTTGGCTCTGGAAGCTTCTCTCTAGCAATATATACCCAATTGCCACTTTATTAGGTACACCTTGCAAGTACCAGAATGGACTTCCTTTTGCCTGAAGAACCAGCTTAAATCTTTGTGGCTTAGATATAACAAGGTGCTGGAAACATTTCAGTACATTGTTACACCTTGTTGTTTTCATGTTAATATGCACCAAAATGCTGCAGCGTTATCGTATGCACATCCATGATGTTCTCTATTGGACTGAGATAGTGAGTTTGGAGACCATTTGAATACAGTGAACTTCCTGTGATGTTGGTCATAAAGCGATAGATGTAGTCAGCAACAACAAATAATCCCCACACTTGCTTGCCACACGTGCTTTTATGTTCTTTGCGTCAAATTCTGATTATGGTTCAACATGTTCATATGGAGATGCTCTTTTCCATAACTTAGATGAGTTAGTCTTGCCTTCCTATTAGCTACAAGCAGTCTTCCCCATTCTGATGCTTGATTTGTAGTTAAGCAGGTTGTTTTGACCATGTTTACAAGCCTAAAGTTGCAGCCATTGGCTGAATAGATATTTATATTAACAAGCAGTTGAACAGGCGTGTCTAACAAAGTGACTGACGAGTACAGATCTGTACTGTGCTTTTCTAAAAACATAAACAAGATCTGTGGAATTATTTTACCATTGCAACTAAAATGCAATGATTGCATCCTGCAGCTTCATTGCATTCAAAATTTCCAAAAGTAAAATAAAACACACTAATATCTCATCTCTTTTTCTTTTTTTCTTTTTTTTAAAGAAATGGATGAAAAACACTATATAACCAGAATCTTCAAAGACATGAAAGCTCTCAGGTCTTTGCACTGAAATAAGTTAAAAGGTTCTGTTTCATTAATCTTGTGTTGGCCAGCTAATGGATTAATTGACAGTACTGTACATGTGCTGTGTTTGTATGAGGCCATGTAAAAGAACATTATTGTTTTATGAGCCAAGCACATGGGAAGCTTTGGGAGGCAGAAATTGGAGCTCCATGTCAGCACAGTTGTGACCTTGGGGATTTGGGGGTCATATGAATAGGTGCTCTGAGGTGTGTGCCCCAATATTGCAGCTGCCAGCCTCCCAGCACACGCACAAGACGCCTGCTGTGGCATGAGAATTTTACTTGGAGCAGGTTTCATCAACTCTGAGGTGGCTAATGCTGGACAGTTATCACTCTGCTCCTTGTGAGAGACAGTTGTTTTCTCCTTGTCAACACACAGACCGTATTGCAGCTACATTGCAATTTCTCCCCAGTCAAAGCGCTTCTTGGCAGGGCTTGGGTCCTAGTGCTGAGGCGTTGGTGGCAGCTGAGGCTGGGGCTCAGACTCCATGCATGCCGCTGCCAGTGGTGGTCTGCTATGCCTATGCAGCATTTGAAGGTGCTCCCACTGTCTGTGGAATGCAGCGCTGGGCATTTTGGAAGAGGGGCCCTCGAAAAGGGAGAGGAGGAAAAGGGGCGGGAAACTTAGAAAGAAAGACGAGGGGAGGTGACCTTTGAACAGTGCCACCAGGAAATTATGACTCAATTTTCAACTGGGGGAGTGAAATAGAGAAGGTATATGCCAGTTATATGCCAATGAGCACTTCTTACTGGTCCTCTATCATGTGGGCCATTTCAGGGTTTTGTTTTTTGCAATCAGGAGTGAAGATCAAGAAATGTTGAGCTGGGAGATCAAGGTTTATAAGGCTTTTAGCTTTTAGCAAGCAGGGACACTCCATTATTTGAAATCTGTTGGTGGTTCTTTTTCTTCTTTTATTGTCAGATTCAAGGCCTTATTAATAGTCTGGGAAACAGTGGGGATTGATTAATCTGGGCTGGGAATGAATAGAACTTGATGTAGTTAGTTCAAAAAACACCACCCTTTTCTCAGGTTTTTAATGGCAGAAGCTAACATGCAATGCAGGAACAGAACTGGTGGTGGTGGTGTGTGTGTGTGTGTGTGTGTGGGGGGGGGTGTCTTACTTACTTATTTACTGATTGTAAGAGAGCAGTGAAAGGTATGGGAAGCTGATGGGGTTGGTGAGTCACTGTAGAATCACAGCTAAGCAGCACCAGCCCCACGTTCCAAATCATAAAATTTTATTTTTTACTTTTTATCTGCACCTCCTCTCACAATATATGCAAGGCAAGGCAAGGCAAGGCAAGTTTATTTGTATAGCACAATTCAACAACAAGGTGATTCAAAGTGCTTTACAGAGACATTAGAAACAAGAACAAATAAAAAGCATGATTTAAAATTAATATACACTGCTGTGCTACTTTGTCTAAACATTGTGCCATGGTGTTTTTGACCTAATATGTATTGGGACACATTTTTCTTGCATACTAGCATGGCAGTGTGAATACGCCCAAGAGTGTGGATTGCATTGTCTGTCATTTGGTACTGGTCCAGGAACAAGTCTACCAAAGCTTTACTCTTAATTGCTTTTATGTAATAAAGTTGCTTGACTGTAATGCATTGCAGGTCGGGCCATCTATAGAAGATGGAGGGAAAGGTGGGGGTTGTAGCTCTGAGACGTTTCCTCTTCAGCCCAACGGCGACGCAGACATGAGCCCAGCGTGCCTATAAAAAGAAAGGGCTTGTGTATCTGCTGGAGCCTTTGTTTCCAAGGAACTAGCTAAACCTTAACATTTCCTGTTCTGAACTCCCACACACATATTCATGCAAAGTGGCATGCACAAACAGTGGGACAAATCTATTAAAGTGCTTTCGCTGTAATCTGCACAATCTTGTGCACATAAGCAGAGTCTGAAAGACATGGATGCATGCTTTGATGGTGAATAACTGTACTGATAGAGATCCATGTTTCACAAATACACATTACTAAGCTTGAAAAAACAAAACAAAATGCCTACAGAGGTGTAGTCTGCGCATTCAGAAGAAAATATTTCTTCATATTTTATGTAATGTGATCACTGTAATAAGCAGCAGCATGTTAGTGAGCGTGTAGAATAAAATGGAGATTTGCCTAAGTTCTTTATGAAACCTTTCAGACTGTGTCAACTACCTCCCAGTGGGCATGCCTGTCACTGAATCAGAAAGAATGATTGATAATACTGTTAATCTCTAGATTAACCGCAACAGTGCGGTATGAGCCACTGTGTGTTTTTTGTCTATCAACACTCGCATGTGTACGTGTAAGTGTATATTTGGGTGCCCTCTGCAGCTATAATGCTGTCTTCATTTGTCATGCAAGTGTAGTAAAGGCCAAGCTCTATTCCCTTGTCCTGCTGGGAAATTTGATCGTTGTTGCAGTCAGCGTTTTATAAATCCGAAGCAATGAAGTTCCAGGAGATAGTCAGTCCTCTATTCTCGACAGTCTTCCTACTCTTGACAGAAAGCATATTTGCTCCATAATCAGGATTGATGTCAGCCCGATTGTGAGGTGTTTGTTGTGCTTTTATGGTTAATCTCATCTTTCCAGAAAAGTGGAACGGCAGCCAATCAAATTGGAAAAGATGTGCAACACACTGTGACAACAGGGAAGTGAAAAAGCAGTTCTGGAGGTCT